TATAACTTTTAAAAGTTTGTATAAACGTGTAGTTTTTGGATTTTGTATAATATAATTTATTTAATATAATTTGTATAATATATTTTGTATAATTGTTTAAAGTTCATACGTTTATGTTTGTATCAATTCGTTATTTTGAGTTTTATTATATTTGTATAATCCAGACTTTATATTACCCAATTATACAAAAAAAAATGTGAATTATACAAACGTACTTGCGTATTATACAAACGAAATGTGAATTATATATATTTTTCTCCCCTCTCGCTCGCCTCTCTCCTCCCTCTCCCAATCTCACTCCCCTCTCTCCTCCCTTTCTCAATCTCTCTCACCAGAATATACAAATACATATGTATAGTATACAATTATCTAACCGATATACATATACAATTCACCTCTCCCACTCTCTGCCCTCTCTCGCTCGCCTCTCTCCTCCCTCTCCCAATCTCACTCCCCTCTCTCCTCCCTTTCTCAATCTCTCTCACCAGAATATACAAATACATATGTATAGTATACAATTATCTAACCGATATACATATACAATTCACCTCTCCCACTCTCTGCCCTCTCTCGCTCGCCTCTCTCCTCCCTCTCCCAGTCTCGCTTGCCACTCTCCTCCCTATAACATGTAGCTACAAATCGTAATTAGCAAACTATAGCTATAGAGTATAATTAGACTATTTTTGAGTGACTATATGCGAAAGTTCCTCTTTAATTAATAAATTAACTCATTCCCGTTCCTCGCATGATTAATTAATATGATCCAGCCAGATAAAGCTTATGAAGGTAGTTAATCCTCAAAAAATCTCATAATAAACACAAGTACTATGTATATAAGAAAAGATGAATCCCTTTAATTATTAGCTTTCCATAATAACACAGTACTCCTAAACATCTAAAGCACACATATCTTTCACTACTTATTACAAACACACTCAACATATTTAGCCTGAGGCCAGATTGTGGGTGAACGCATTGCTCTCAGCTTGAACTATATATGCATACATACATATGCAAAAGTCATTAAGTATGAGTACATATAATAAGATCATACTCATTAATCATGAACACACATCCATCATATCTCTAGGGGTGGCCCGGAGTGTGGCGATTATTCGCGCCAGAACCTGGATAGTCATTGACCTCAACATCCATTCTTCTAATGACGGCATCACCTAGTTTCATACTCTCGACCTCCATATTCTCCTAATAAATATTTGACAAAAAAAACAAGAAATTATGAAAGAACTGATGTTTGCTTGTATGAAAGAAAGAAGATAGACAAGTAGTTACCATTTGAGTATTCTCATGTTGTTGAGTTTTGTACACCAAACTATTGCATCCTAACAACGAAAATAATTGTATATTCAGCGTAACCATACAAAAATAATATATATTGATCGATGTTAATTAAGTTGAAATATGATTACTTACTTGTAATTGGGATGGCATTCAAGTAGATAACTTGAGAAAAACAAAGAAAAGCCAGAAACAAAGTGGCAGCCATTTTCCTAATTAATCAAGTGTTTTGAGATTAGTGCCCCATTTTATACATTCATTCATTGTATATATACAAAATATATAAAGCACTTTGAGATTGAGTGTACCTATTGCTTGCGGCAATCAAATCACAAAATAAAGTCAAAAAGTTGACTCTAGCTACTATCTTATGATACAAAGACGTGCACTATTTGCCAATACATATATTATAATTAAGATATACCATATGTGTGTATACTAACAAATCACAAAGTATTGTTAGCTTTGTTGAGATATTTTAGATTTTTTGAATTTTAAATTTGACAGATTTTATGTTTAAGCTGGTTATTTAAAGATAATTTTAGAGAGGCATTTTTAACCTTTTTTGCTATTCCATTTGATTAAAGAAAACCAACAAAATTATATTATTTTTAGCATATTGATTACTAATATGTTTATTATAAGAATTTATCAGATTATCTTAATAATTTTCTAAATATATGTTATAGAGTGACTTGATAAAAGATAATGTGTGTGTGAACCATTGATATGAAACTTGAAGATTATATATATTTATATAAATAAAGTAAGGCTAAGAGAGAATGGAATTTAGGTTGAAGTGGTAGGTATGAAGAAATTTATTAAGTCAAAATGGGGAACAAGGATGAGCACACTGCGGTAGTGGAAGGTTACCAAGTAATAATGATGTGTCTCAATATAAGTCAAGCCTTAGTGGAACATATAATGAATCATTTCAAGACACAAAAATACCGACAAAATTATGGTGGAGTGGTAATTACTCATTTATTTCTAATCAGAATTTTTGGGTTTGAGTCCTCTGGATATAGAGTTACATTTGTTAGGGAGTGCTTATCCCCTAATGTGCGACTTTCCAGCGCGAATCTAAATTTAATCGAGCTCCAATAAGAATATCGGATACCGAGCGGAAAAAAAACACAAAAATATTATAATCATTTCTACATTGATGTATGAACTTTGACATGAATGGTGTGGTTTACATTATCTAATTACAAGTGGAATAGTCACTTGTAATAATTCTTTCCATCTTTCAATTCTTTTTTGAAAGTATAGCCTATAGGTAGCTTTATATATCCACACAAAATGCTCATTAATTAGTACTTGTCACTGTGCACATGATATACGTGTTGTCGGGCAAGACTCTACTACTTAATCAATCCTTTAATTACTCCATTTTTAATCACTTGCTTCTAGACACATTATACCTTCATGTTCTACAAAACGTTTAACTTTTGGAAGAAGAAATTATCATATACTATTTGACCAATTGTTCCACACAAACTTATGTAATAAATGTTTTTATTTGGTTGATGAACCCGGGTCCGTCTTAACCCCTAGGCCACTAAAGTCATCGTTTGGGGTCCTATATTTTTTGGGGTCTCTATTTTTTAAATTTTGTTTTACTATAAATGTTATTTTTTTAGAAATTTTTTTTATATGTACGATGAGTGTTATGATTTCTACCAAGGAAATTGCAGATGAGATGAATATAGAACCTGAATTTCGTAAGAAACAAAAGTTATTTTTTCACTTCAAAATAGATTTGAACCAATTAAATCATATAAAAATATTTTTGATTTCTTATTTAGTGGTAAATTGAGATCACTAGATGATGAGAATTTAAAAAAGACATTGTATTAACCTTGAACTTTCTTTAACACATTATATATATTATGATACTGATGGTTTAGATTATTTTTTGAATTAAAAGTATTAAGAGAAATAATACAAATAGAAGATAATGATCTAAAAGAAATATTCAATAAAAAAAAGACTTGATTCTTTTTCAAATCCACATATTTCTTATAGAATAATGTTGAAAGTTCATGTAACCGTCACCTAAGCTGAAGAATTTCTCAAAACTAACATTGATTAAATCTTAATTAAGATCAACAATGTCTCAAGAGAACTGATTGAATAGATTACCTATATTATCAATTGAAAATGAATTAAAAAAACAAATCGATTATAAAACAGTAACTAATGACTTCACATCTAAAAAAATTAGAAAAGTAGATTTTAAATAAAAATATATATGATGAAAAAAATAAAATATTAGGGGCCCTCTCTTAGATTTCACTTTACGCCCCAGTCTTATTGAATCGGCTTTGAATGAGCCAATGTTTTGTTTTCTCTGAAAATCTTATTTATGTAAACAAAATATATTATTTATGTGTAAGATAAATGACACGTTACTACACTTTGGTAGTACTACAAAATTTGGAGCAAATATATGGATATATCTATTATTTTAAGGGAAAATTGTACATAATGGCAAACTATTAATTCAAATTAAATGGTATAATCACACTTTGATTTAATTGTGTCCTGTAGCAAACTGTTTGCCAGCGCCTCTCTCCCTCAAACTCTCGCTTGCCACTCTCCTCTCTCGCTCACTCTCTCTGTGCTCGCCTCTCTCGCTTTATACACAGAAGTGTATAAATTGCATTTCTGTTTGTATAAAGCGAGAGAAAATTGTATATACACATGTAAATACATATATATTCGTCATATACACTTATAATTATACAATAAAAATATTTACCCTGCCCAGTTCTCTTTTGTCTTTCTCTCTTTCTCGTTTTATACAATAGAATTGTATAAATTGTGTTTTCTGTTTGTATAAAGCGTGAGAAATTGTATATACACATGCCAAAATACATAATATATTCGTCCTATACACTTATAATTATACAATAAAAAAACTACATATATCCCACTACTTTACATCCCTATTACTAGAAATCCCATTAGTTTTCAATATTACTTCCTATATCACTTTTTATTCCTAAGATACATGGGTAATAATCCTTAAGATACATGACTCTATTAAAATTTAAAGGAGGGATACATGTTTAAAAGATAGGATACATGTTTCTTAATTAATTTGAATTAATCGTGGGAGATAATCCCTTAATTGAAGGAGTAAGTTATGGGAGATATAACAACCATAACGTAATTCATGGCTCCATTTCATCATCAACGATTTATATATCAAATTATTTTCTGAACTTCTTCATCTTCTTCATCAAATTAAGATTCTTTTCAACCTATAAATTTTTCGAATTTTCTTTTGATTATGGCGAATATCACAATATTGTTGAGGCATTCCGGTTCATGGGTATCTGAAATTGAATATGAAAACTATAGAATTGATGGAATACTTTTGAGAGATAATGCAAACTACAACAATCTACTAATCATATATGCTACCCAAATTCGAGATACATAATATTTTTACGAGATACACAACATAAAATCTGTAGACATTTTTCTCATGTATATGCACTACATTATTTTCAGGTCGTTTAGTTGTTCGAGATACACTATAAAAATACGGCAAATTTATGAAACGAGATGGGCATGAGGTTTTTTATGGAACTGAAAAGACGTCAAACAAATTGCCGGATGTATCCATTGTGCATAACAACAAAAGATCACAATTTTGGATGTGGTATTAATGGTGAAATTGCGTTTGAGCCAGATACATCAATTGTTCAAGTTGGAGGTGATGACATGAATGTATTTGGCGTAGTTCTTCAAGAGATTCGTAGTGTAGATGCATTATGTATTTTGGATATGAATTCGGATCATGTTATTGGTGACTGTAATAAAAAATTTGTTCAAGTCAAGCAGTTGTATAAGGACAAGAAGACTACTGTGGCTGTTATGCAAAAATATGCCATAGACAATCGATTCCAATACAAGGTTGCAAGATCCGACAAAAAGAGGTTAGTCATGTTTGTTGTTTTAGTGGCTGTATCGTTTCTGTGTATCTGGTATTATGTGTAAGAGTCATAATTTATATTGTGTATCTCGGAAAAATAATATGTATCTCGGCCAAATAATTTATACCACATTATTTAAAGTAACGATCTAATGTTTAAAAGTAATGAAGTTTAAATCATGTGGATCTTATTATGCGTGTATCTAGTATAATAATGTTGAGCAGATATATGAAAATAAATTTGTCATAATTTTATAGTGTATCTCGAGCAACTAAACGACCTGAAAATAATGTAGTACATATACATGAGAAAAATGTCTAGAGATTTTATATTGTGTATCTTGTAAAAATATTATGTATCTCGAATTTTGGTATCATATATGATTAGTTGGGCATGTATCCTTTTTTGTTGTGAGTAGCATTATAGTGAATTCAAAAATTGTTAAGTTTCATCAGTTTGTATCTTGTATATTTAATAATGTATCTGGTAGCCTCAACTATTGTAAATGAGTGCCTTTGTGTGCAGTTATTTTTTGAGATGTATGTCTGAGGAGTGCCAATGGGTATTCAAAGCATCCTGTTTGAATGATACAACTATTTTTCGAGTAAGGTGTTTCAATAACGATCATACATGTCCGTTAAAGGATAAAGTGATGTCACAACGTCAAGCAACAATTGATTTAATAGCTGGAATAGTTGCTCCAAAATATGAGAATCATAAAAGAAAGCATACTCCAAAGGACATTCAGGAAGATGTTAAACGTGACTTGGGAGTTGACATTAATTACATGAAGGCGTGGCGTTCGAAGGAGAGAGCTATTAAGATGTTAAGAGGAGGTCCAACAGAGGGTTACATTAAGATGCCAAGCTACTTGTATATGTTGGATACTGTGTATCCAAACTCTTACATCCGAATGCATAAGTCAACAGATAATGAATTCATGTATCTATTTATAGCGTTGTATCCTTTTATAAAAGGTTCTGAGCACTATAGGCCAATTGTTGTTGTGGATGGAGCTCACCTAAAAGGAGCTTATAAGGGCACATTTGTTTCTGCTAGCACTCTGGATGGAGCAGGTGTGTTAATTTTATTAAAAGAATGAATATCTTATATGTGTATCCGTCTTTGATTGTATTTACTAATATTTAACAATAACTATAATGCCATGTATCTGTTTGTTTTACAGGGTGTATATTACCGCTTGCTTATGGTGTAATTGACTCTGAGAATGATAATTCTTGGACGTGGTTTTTCGAGCATTTCAGAGGCGCTTTTGGTGAACGTGTCAACATGTGTG